TAAGGGGGGTAGTAAGTCGCTTGCAGGCAGTTTGAAACCAAGTCCCCAGTAACTACCGCCCATCCTCTTGACGGTAACTCGGGGAAGGAGTCCACCTCTCGTCTTCCCTACACACGAGAATAAAAGGAGATCGGTCCTTCTTAGGGAAAAACATTTTCTCACTTCGAAGGCAGTATCTAAAATGTTAAGTTTCTCTTCCTGCAGGGCAGTGGGTTGCTCGCATTAGTATCCCACCGGGTTCCTCCTCGCTCCTCGATCCCCGTTGACTGTCACTCAAAATTTCAGCATCTCTTCTTCCCTTAGTTTAGTGACAAATGCCCCCTCATGTTCGTTAGTCTTAGGGATAAACTTTTCATACAGTTTGAGAAGGAAGCATAAAAAATATATTTAGGACTCACTTTTCGCAGAGGGCATTATGTCTCTGGCTAGTAGCGTCGGTAGGTACTTGGTGAGATCCTTCATACATGCATCAATACAGAAGAACATATGGGAATACATGGTCATTTGCATTTATTAACATAAATTAAGGATTACACCAAGTGCTTACCGTAGCGTCGCACCAAGTCCCGCTGACTGCTTTCTCCCTTGACCTTCACCTACGAAAAACCTCAGCCTCTCCGCTTGTTTTCCCCAAGGGAACGGAATACTTTTCCTTTTATCGGCGGTGGCTTCACCCATAAAGGTTCGAACTCTCACTTTCTGCCGAAGGCAGTGAGCCCTTTGCTAGTAGTTTGGAACACAGCCAACACGAAAGCCAGCCCACTATCTCGTACACGCGCGCGCTGCATTTGCGTGAGAAGTCATACACGCACGAGTTATGCGTGAGTATAAGGAAAGGAGATATCCTGGTTAGATGGCCTGAGTGGACATTATATTGTACTCCAGTTGTTTTCGTGATGGCGATATTCGCGAGACTTGCCTTGCTTTTGATAGCTTATTGGGGTGTGGAACCTTCGTATGGCAGTGAGAAGGATATCAGCGAGGAGGATTACTACAAAAGTAAGTGTTAAGCCAATCCTATGTGCAAATATTTCGATCACTGACGTCCAAAATCACTCACCACAGTAGGCGATGTTCTGCAAGGTCATGTTTACTTGGTTTCTTCTTCCCAAGAGTCCTCATGAAATTTTAATCTCTCAAATGGAAAAAAAAGGCGGTGTGATGGTTTCATTTCACCTTCTTAAGGATTCCTGTTAAGATATCCACTATTTCTAGATTCTAGAAAATCCATGTGTAACACTCATAGGAAACAAAAGCGCCATATTAAAGAAAGATCAATGGTTGAACGAACACTGACCCGAGGGCAAGATAAGCTGTTTTAAGAAACCAGCTTAAGGCATTGTAACAGTTCGTAATGCAGTGAAATAGATTCCTGGTATTTTCAGCTGAAAAGATGTTTACATCTGATGCATATTTCGTCCATCAGGCGGTTAGAACTTCTGCAGATATGATAACGCTATCCAGTGGATAAATCCCTATCCGGTGGATGGCGCTGTACGTTTTGGTAACACTTATCCGCTAGATAGTGATTTATCCGTTGGATAGCACTATCCTCCCGTTGAATAACCGGAGCCAGACGGTTAGAACTTCTGCAGATAGGGAGATCAAGAAAATAGCTACAACATTGTTGTCTTGTGTTCTTCTCTATCAGGGTTTCAAAACATTCCACCCGCTATTGAAACTGCTAAGATGCTCTACAAGACCTTCTTTGTAGGGGAAGCTAGAAAAATCCAGAAACGACAAATCCTTGGAAACTATTTTGACGTAATTCTTGTCTTTGATTCATCCAGCTCCGTTAGCAGTGGAGAATTCGCGAAAGGATTGAAAGCTTTGCGAGATCTTGTGGGCAAATCACGAAATGACACTGTCTATGCAGCCGTTACTTATGCGACCCGTGCCAAAATTGAGTTTAAATTCGCTTCGCGTTTCATCGCAGATGAAAAAATTGGCGCCATCAGGCGCACCGGCGGGAAAACTAACACTCAGGCTGCGCTCAAACTTTGTAGAAGAATGTACACTGAGGCTCAATATGGCGCCCGGCAAGGAAGCTTCCACAGAATTCTTATAGTCACAGACGGCCAGTCCAACATCAAGAGGAATGAAACTATTCCCAGTGCATTTGAACTTAAAATGATGGGAATCGAAATATTTGTAATCGCGGTAGGTGAATACCTTGAGGGGATCAAAGAATTGGTACAGGTGGCAAGCTCATCTGATGCTCATATGTACCGTGTGTTAAATATGAGTGGACTGGTACAGATGATCAAGCTCATTCCTGATCAGGCCGGGAAAAAAACNTAAAGTAAGCCCTTCAATTAAATAGATAATGAAAAAGTTAAAACATTTGTTCGAAAAAAAACTTAAAAATGATCTCCACTGAAATTGACCTTTTCAGCAATGGCGATAGAATCCATTAGTTTGGCAAAGCTCAGGCGAATGAGCGAACGCTACCATTTTTCTTCAGTTAAGCAGCATTCTTCTAGGTATATCGTTGTGTGAAAGGAAAGATTTAGAATGCCAGCTTTTGCCACAGGCTCTCTCTCGGACGGTTTGCTCAAACGTTGATCGATACAAGAAAATATCTAGACATTGAGTAGCGCGATGAAATCATACTTTTCGTCAACTTTGTAATCAATATGTCTGTTTATAAAAAGAAAAAGAAATCGAATTCGATCAGAATTGTAAGTGTTTTCAATCATTCTGTACTAGAGTTATAAAATTATCGCCGCAGCTTCAGTATACCCCAATCACAGTTTTTTAACCTTTCCTTTAAGAAAAACCTCTCTATGTTAGAAACTGCTATTTCACGATCCTAGTTCAGGCTCTGACAACATCTAGGGTTCATATCCAGGTAGAAGTTCAAGCACATTCCATTGATAAGAAAGTTAACATACACAAACAACCTACTGTTGTAATCCTCCAGAAGCCTTCTGTCATTCTGAAAATCACAGGACACCTCAATTACAAGTACTTGAATTAAAACCCACAAAAGTCGAAGAAAACAGGACATTTGTTTTGCTTTTTGTAGAAGTCAGTGTGGTCACCAGATGACTCTTAGCATGTATAAGAAATGCCAAAGATACCCCAAATGGAGTCTTTAATATCAATATTAGTGTCACTTCATTTATTTACGTCTCCTTTAACTCAGTCGTCTTTGATGCAGATCGCCGTAAGCCGTGTTTTGTTTCAGAGGAGGATCTGTTCTGCACTGGGCTTTCATTTGTCGATGATAGAGCTACATAATTATATATCTCTAGTGTCGTAGAAGAGAGTAAAAATAAATTTCAGTTGTCAGGAAATAAAACGAGAGTGACTTTAGCTTGCACCAATGAAACAGTTTGAAGACTTTGGAAAAGGCCTTCTAATAGGAAAGCGTCTAACTGATAAGGCTTAGCATCGTAAATTGCGATTGAAGCATCAAACAATACATACACATAGAAACTTAAGCTGGTTTAATGTGTCCTAGTTTGTCATATACTGATTCAATAGTTGCTTTTGGAGTCTAAAGGGTAAAATTATGAAATCATCATTTTTTCTATCGCGGTCAAGATTTGAGCAGAAAGGAAAAAAACCTGTCCACAGTTAAAATCACCCTATGAGTAAAAACGAAAGAAAATTAGCAAAAACAAACAAACAAAAAGGTAGATACATAAAATATGACAATGCCATAAACATTTTTAAAATGCTGATGCTTTAACAACACTTGGTTTCTTCTTCCCAAGAGTCCTCATGAAATTTTAATCTCTCAGATGGAAAAAAAAGGCGGTGTGATGGTTTCATTTCACCTTCTTAAGGATTCCTGTTAAGATATCCACTATTTCTAGATTCTAGAAAGTCCATGTGTAACACTCATAGGAAACAAACGCGCCATAATAAAAAAAGATTAATGTTTGAACGAACACTGACCCGAGGGCAAGATAAGCTGTTTTAAGAAACCAGCTTAAGGCACTGTAAAAGTTCGTAGTGCAATGAAATAGATGCCTGGTATTTTCAGCTGAAAGGATGTTTACATCTGATGTATTTTTCGTCCATCAGACGGTTAGAACTTCTGCAGATAGGGAGATCAAGAAAATAGCGACAACATTGTTGTCTTGTACAATGAAAACATATGAAGTTCACATATTTTGAACTGCGGTATTAGATACGTATGATGCACGATCCTCGCAGTAGATAGCGCTATTTATGCAATAGCGAAAATCAGACCTGAAAAAAATCAGGCCTGTACGGGATTCGAACCACTGACCTCTGTGATACTAGTGCAGCGATCTACCAATTGAGCTAACAAGCCAACTGGGAGCAGGCCGTTAAGTTGATTCGTAATAAACCCGTGAAAGTGATAAATCAGATACAATGAAAACATATGAAGTTCATATATTTTGAACTGCGGTATTAGATACGTATGATGCACGATCCTCGCAGTAGATAGCGCTCATTAAGAATTTTTCTCTGACCAAACTCCTCTGCTCAATTTTGAATTTTGAAATTGTTCGGCTTCTGTTGTTATTGTGGGATGCTT